TTATAAATATATCAATTCATGTGGACTGACTGAAAAATTTAATTTTTTTTTGAAAATGTGGTGTCTATTTACTTGTGACCACGTTGTGTAGGTGTGTGGGTGTGTATTTATTGATTTTGTTGCGTCTGATAAAACACTGTAGTTAAATATATGCATATATATATATATTAAAGATATAATTGTTTCTTTCATTTTTGTCAGCTTCTTTTTTTATTAAAATAAGAGTTGAAAGCCTCCGTTCCATTAAAAGTATCGATAAAAAAATGGTGTAGTTTGCATCACAATAATAATAATAATAATTAATTTTAAACTTGTGAAAACTCGTTATATTATTATAACACGGTACAAACACACGGAGCAGGCGTCTCTACCCGATATAGTAACAAGCTAATTTCTGTCCAATCAAGGGTTGAAGACGAAAATCGCGGGAGCATCGAATAAAAGTATCCTAAATAATAACGGTAGCTTTCAGTTAAAAATTAATTATTTGTTTATATAGTTATAAAATTCATAACTGCCGTGTAAGGTAAAACCTTTAAGAAATGAGTAACGAAAGCGAACGAAATACTCATGAAATGGTGGAATTCAGGTATTGTACATCCTAGTTTGTTTTTCACGTAATGTTAAGTTGTGCGTACCATACTGGTCATAAGTTGACGTAAATAATACTTTAGGCCTAGTAAATTAACCCTAACATATATTATTAACAATAACAGTATCACTACCATCAGCGACCATAAATTACAATGTGTATGTAGGCCTGACGTATTACAGACAGAAAAAAAAATATTATACAACTATATTTTAATTTGAGAAATTGTCATACGTACTTACTTAAAATTACATTTCAGAAAAACATGCAAACAAATTAAGAACTGGTTTCATAAACTGAAGATTTCAAACATTTCAATAAAAACATTATACTTTATTACTTATACTATAGACCGTACTATACCGTATATACGGTATAGTAATTTTTTTATTAGTATAAATTTGCATTTTATATTACAACTTACATTGCTGTGGTATTAATGCGGTAAGAGTTCCATATGGCACCCCCACTCAATTTAAAAAAAAATTCATCAAAGTAATATTTAGGTATTAATAAATCATGGTATAATAATGTATTAAAATTATCAGATCATACTATTAATACTTCATTAA